ATGATAGGTTTCTAAACCACACTTCAAAATGGTAGCCCCTTAACAATTTGTACTCTTCTACATTGTTGCCTTTTACTGACTTCTTGTAATGAGCAAAGTTGGAAGGACTCAAATATTCAGTTAATAAATGCTGATGTGAGTTCTTCTACACTGCTGTGCCAGTTTATTCAAGCTGACTTCTGCAAATCCAACTATTACAATGCTGAACCCCAGTCAAAAGTGGACTACTTATTGTATTTATGTGTATCTGTATACCCAAACTGTACTGAGAAGCGGTGTAATATTCAGCATCTGATGGTGTTGGCCCTGGTTTTATGTGCTACACATGCAAATCTCACTTTAGTTGCTAAAGAACCACCTATTAAAAACTCTGGTAAAATTTTGCTCCTATCTTTTGGGCAAAGGCATTAGCAAATAGGCACTCACATGTATGGAAATTGAATAACTTTAATTTCTGCCTATGAAAAAGGGGAGAACAAGTTGTCAGTGCTGTTAACATTTCTTTAATATTAAAACACAGTGATTAGCAGCTTCATCATTTTACTTCTATACCCACATACCACTGCTTCTAGGGTATTAATGATTCCATAAGACAGAAAATCTGAAAACATGCAGCTTCCAACAGGATAGATTTTTAAACTACTAAAAGAACACCTAGGCAATACATCTTGATTTAGGAATTTTCTTGTTTATTTTAAATTTAAAATGTTTTCTTCTGTTTTTCCGTGGGCAGAGGCTTATTTCTTAATTCTTTGTTGAACTGCATAAGACAACTTTTGCTGTCAGCGCTCTGATGTTACTGTACTCAACAGGACTGCTAGTGATTAAGGTTTTTGTTTTTTTTTTTTTTTTCTTATAAGTTGTATTTGAAGGGGAAAAGTCGTCTTGTCATAATTACCTCTGGATTAGAGTGCTGGTGCAAAGTCCTTTAAGTTTCCCCTAAAACAGTGTATTTTATCTCTTCAGTTCTCCATGTTCAAAAAGCATTGCTTGTTTTTTTCCCCCCTCCCCTGCGCTACGTAGTATCGAGTGGAGAGCGAAAACTTGCTCTTGTTGCACGAGCACTGAAGCATCTTTATTCAGAAATCCACAATGTACAGTAATTGGGGGGGTTCTTAAACAGTGTCAAACTATTGATTTTACAGGAACAAACTTTTCCTGAATACCCCAAACAAAGCATCCAGGTATACTTTGGCTGCTACTTGTGAGTGTGTCTTTTGATCCATGTGTAATGGGAATAAATAGGTTTAATCTTGCCATATCCTCATAATTTTGGGCTGAATTAGGAGTGAGGTCATGCCACTATTACTATTACTGTCACTACGTCTGGTTTAGAAGAACCATCTGCTTCCAGGTTTGCTTACAGTATCAAAAGCGCTTCAAAGCTTTCCAAGTCTGCTGTCCCTATCTTCTTTCTAACCTAAGTTCATTTTTAAAGAATTTCTTTATAGAGATATGAAGTAACAGGGTTCAATTAAGTGAAGTACAGCTTTTGATCTGTGCTTTGGCTTTGTCCCGTTTGTATCGCTAGAACTTATATCGCTTTTTTTTTATTTTTTTAAGTCAAGAAATGGCAGCAAGGGATAAAAAGAGCATTCTTTTTAGATATTCTTTAAGGAGTTTGGGAAATGCAGTAAAAGAATGAGAGTTCATTTACATATAGAATGAAGAAGCAGATAAATGTATGTATGTGTGTGGTCTGGATCTATCTGTGGAAAATATCAGAGAACTAGAGGTGTATGTGCTTAAACATTTCATTGTTTAATAAAGTGTAACCTAATCCTATTGGTAAAACAGTTTATGAAAGGATAGAGATGAAGCCATCAAGATGACTTAGTCTTTTTATATGTGTTTAGCAACCCTGGCTCTGCTTCTAGTCTTGCTCAGTTTGGTCCAGACTTTGTGCCTTGATGAGCAACCTCTCAGCCAAGAAGTTTGTGCAATGTGACTATTAGGTATAATACAAAAGACCCAATGTTCTTAATTTTTTTTGGATATATGTAATTGATATATTTAATTTGTGACAAATGTTCATGAGACTCAAAACAGAATATATATGGAGTGTATATATGAACGCTAAACAAACCACGTGTTTGATTTGTGTGTGTGTGGTTTTCCTGCTCAACACACAAGGATCTGACGTTCTGATCTGTTCTTTCACAAACCTCTTAATTATGCTTAATTATGCTATCACCCCCACAAATAGCACTGGGTTCCTTTTTCACTATTAAAGGATGAGAAACAAAATACAAATTATTCCATTTTATGATTTACGCTTACTTAGTGATGTTTTTTGTGTCATTAAGCAAGTATAAGATTAAATTAAAAATCTACATTAAAATATGCATTTCAAAACATCTCATAAAAGCTTAGTAATTCAGTAATTAATGTGGCAGATAATGACAGTCTTTCCATTTCCAGCTCTGCCTATGCAAGAGTTCATTGCTTTTGCTGCTTTCCTACAGTATCCGTGTTAGGAAATTTACCATCGTTTTGAACAGAAATTGTTCTCCTTTTCTTCCCTGCCCTCCTCCCTTGGTCAGAATACAGGCTAGTATTCTCAGGAGTACCTAGCTGAAAGAAGTATGCTTTTATGAGGTGCATAATTAAATTGTGAAACCATTTTATCTTTTCATGAAGGTAGTGTCCAGAAACAGCTATTCTGCTGCGTGAAATGCATTTTTTCTATGAGGCTTAAGTTGGAAACCAATTGGGTATATTTGACAAACCAAGGGTTTTTCCCTGAGAAATGTCTAATTGGTGAAGATCTTTGGGATCTTCTGACTCCATTTTGCAGGATCTAGTTAATTATATGCATTCTAGATAAAGCTATATAGTGAGGTGAGAGGAGGCAGTGGCATTACAGCTTTGAATTGCTAGGCAGCATTGTTATCCGTACTTTTATAGCTTGGATTAAGGAAATGAGCTGATTTATTTTAAAATTAGCATAGCCATGACAATTGCAATAGCTGTAAATAATTTTAAAGGAATCATTAGAGATGTCATTTTTTGGCAACATTGATGAATTATTAAATCTAATGCACTCTGTAGATCACAGAAGCAAAAAATAAAATGCTTAAGGAGATACTCCCCTGCCATGTTCATAAAATATATAGCAGAGTAGTATCAACCGCTGCTGATGCTGGGCTAGAAAGGATATTAGAGACAGTAACCAAAAATTGTAGGCTATTTTTGTGTGTTGAACATGACAATAAAAGAATAGAATTTCGACATGCTTCTAAAATATAGGGGAGGGAAGGAGATGTGCCTGTGTGCATACATGTGCCTATTGCTCACGTAAGGTGTTGACGATTAAAGCTGGCAATATAACTTTCCTAACATCAAAAAAAGGCAATAAGAAAGTTTAAAATGATACTAGAGAACTAGGCGGTCTGTCCTCTCTTTTTTTTGGTAGAAATGAAAAACAGATGTGGCAATTGTGGACTTTTCTGTCTGTGTTTCTTGCAACAGATGCTTGTGGGGAAGATTTCTTATCATAGTCATTCAATAGCTAATTGACAACTTTTTTTTTTTTTCATCTGTACCTATATCCCTTTTTTTCTACTTCTGTCAGCAAGCCCAATGCAAATATCTGTGAAATGACTGAAATATTTGTGTGAAATTGTGTACTCTTACTTTTGTGTTCCTTAGGGTTATATCATTTCTTAAGTAGTCTTTGTTGCTAAATATGTATATGCATATGTGTATATATGTGTATAAAAATAAGTCTGTTTCAGAAATATTTCTGACCTGCTTCATCAGCTGATAGGAATAAAGTAGATAAGACATAAATACGAGTAATTCTTCTAGTATTAAGATCTGCAGATTATTGGGCAGGCCTGTTATCAAAAGCTTGAGCAAACACAGAATCCCTATAGCAATTTAGGAATCAATGAATGCAAGAGTATTTGTTTCACTCTGCTCTAATCCTTTTAAGTATGAACTCTTTCAAAATAAGATTTTTCTATGGTTTAAAATTAAGGAAGTAAATTATGGATTGTAGAGCAGTATTCTTTCTTCGTATTTCATGGTGGGGAGGAAGAGGTAGGTTACATAGATTTATGTAACTTATTGAGGGAAAAAAAAGCAAGGTTGTTTTAATTATTCCCAAACCAGGAAATTCAAAATTACTGAAACTTGAGAGCTACATATAATAGGCTATAAAATTCTATAGCAAAGTATTCCAGTAACCTTGAGCATAAGTTATAACTGTGCCAGAAATAATCATACAATCAAAATTTTCTTTATTGTTGTCCCAGTTGAGAATAAACTGAGTTTTGAAACTGACTTTTGAAGGGCTTTTTGAATCCTTTTAAATAACTTTATAGTTATGCAATCCTTTAAACTTTGTTACACTCTATAAAATAACTTATTTTAAGAACTGTGGTCAGGCTAATACTTCTGCTTTAGAAGGTCTTCTGTTAAGAACAAGCTACCCTTGTTCTTTTACACGGCAATAATTCAAAGTCTTTTTTTTTCCGATAAACTCTGGAAGAAGTTTTGAATATTTTAATATTTTTTTCTATAAAATTACATTTTCTCATTAGCTCTTTGACAGACTTTAAAATTTTGTTAATCCCAGCTGTTCGTAATTTTGACCATTGATTGTAATTATATGTATTTTTTAAAATCCATTTTAAATTAAAATAACTAATTTTAATAATCCATTTTTAATTTACTTAGTAGATATAAATGCATATTTGTACAAGTGACTATAGTATTAAAATTTATCATTCATAGAAGATTTCAAAATATACTGTAAATGTTTTCTTTTTGGGACTGTTCTAAGACAAAATATCCTATAGCTTCTGTGTGTTCTATATGTTTTACTACTTTAAAGTTTTGTTAGCTTGATTTTCCTCGCTCCCCTCTCCCCATTTTTTCTTTTAAGCAGATTCTATTAGTATAAAATATGTTGCAACATTGTTTTATTATTTTGGGTTCAAATAATTTCTCACTTAACACTAATCTGGCAGAATTCCTTAATAGTCTCTCTTTAAGTATAAGATCCTTCTGGATTCTGATGCTCCAGAATATGGAGGACATCAAAGACTGGACCACAGTACAGAATATTTTTCTGAAGAATATCCTCACAATTACCGACATAATTCACTTATGGTAAGCAAGATTTTTTTTTTTTCATTCTATTTTTGTATTTTCATTTGATTGACTTTAAAATTTCTTTGGAGAAATATGGAGTCTGTTCCAGGAGCATTGCTGCTACCTTTTTTTTTTTTTTCCTCCTTCTCACAAAATCATCTTTTGGATTTACGCAGTAGAGATGACAATTTTATGATTTATTATGACCTATATTGTTAACTGTTTTTTTCTCTTTTAATGTTACATTTAAGTTTGCATGCACTTTTGTAGAATAAAGAGGTTGGCATACAAAACATTCTTTGCCAGTAAATATGCATGAAAAACTTCTAATATGCTTTTGAATTGTCATTTTGAATATCATCATTCATTTGTTTTGTTTTCATGTCTGAGAAGCTCCATCTTCATGCTTGCTTTGTGATTAAAGCTCTGTAGAACCTGATGTTTGCAAAGCCTTTTTAAAATCATTTGCTCAAATCCACAAATATGAATTAGATCAAATCATGCATTTGCCGACAGGCTTTTTTCCTCCTTAGTTTACAGAAATATTTTGCGAGGCAGAACAATTCTCTGTTCTCTATTTTCATCAATAGTTTCAAGAGTTTCCAGTCCTAAACTGGTATAAATAATGGACAAAGGCTTTCCCACTTGAAATAAAGTGGGAGATGTATCAGTACATACAATTTCTCTTAGCTGAGATGGTAACTAATAAAAACTACCTTTCATCATCACTCTTGAAATCATAATCATTTGTCATAGTTAACAATTTATAAGTCTGTCGCTTTCCCATTTTTACGTGTATATGTATAAAAAAAAAAAAAAAAGTGTGGTGCATGTGTGTGTATACGTTAACTTCTACTAATGTTCATGAGCTCAATAGAAACTAAGCTTCACAAAGGCTGTAGTTTTCCGGAAAGAAAAAAATATGGGTTAGGACAAAGTTTCCTAGAAAAGCTCTGAGGAAACTTATATTGTTGACTTCCAGGTCTAAAGCATACACCGTGTATAGATGAGGGCTTGGGTGAGGTGTGTGTATGTTAATAGATATATACACACTTGCAAATAAGTGTGTATATTTATACATTATAATTCATAATTATAATGTAATATATACATTACATTATATTCATATGCACATTTATAATGTAATAGAATACAAACATGGAGTGTGTGTACTGGTCCATGTATGCCATAGCTCTCATATGCAGAGAAATCAAATCCCAGTGTCATATCTTAACACTTCTACTGAAAGTTGTTTTCCAGAGACTTACTGTAATTTCAAAGTTCGTCGTGTCTCACATATACCCCCACACTTGGTCTATTTCATTGTGGTCAGGGTAGTGGCATTTATTTAGTTGGTTTGTTTTAAAACTGCCTTATTACATGGGGAAAAAATGTTTTGTTTTCGTTATTCTTTGTGTAAAAAGACCCTGGAAACATTTTCTAAAAGTGTATGTGATAATGCACTTGCATTGTAGGTAAGTATTTATACTCATTTCCACACAGAGAAACTAAGTCTCGAAGAGAGTTCGTTCTTGAAGGCTGTATAGCAGGTTTATGCTTCCAGAATTCTTGCTTCATGTGAATAGTTCAAATACCTTGTCCTAGTCATTGGAGAGCATCTGCCACTAACTTAATAACTTTTGCAAGCTAATTAACTGTACTTTGGAATGTATATTTCACGTTTGGACTCTTAGATGATGAGTGCAAGTCATTCAAGGGAGAAAAAGTGTGACAAAATATGAAGATGCAATTTGCTAGGAGCATGTGGAAGAAGCAGCATGTAACAAGTAAGCAAAGCAGCAAATGCACTTTGCAGCATAAGCTGTGGCATGGCAATGGCACTTCTAGGCTAGATAGAAACCCGACAGCATGGGTCACATTAATTTCTTTCTTTATGTCCTTCAGCAATCCAATTCACAGAACAGCTTCAGTCAACAACCCGAGAGATGCCCCAAGCACTACATAGAGGTAAAATGCCAGTAAAAGGACACCAAGCAAAAGCAATTGGAAAAAGTTCTGAAAAACTAGACCAAACTCAACAAGATAGAACTGGAAGTGAGAAAGAAGATACAGTAAACGCCTTCAGTTGCTGTTTTACAATAACACTAGTGTAAATAGCAATTTACATCTCATCTGCTAGATAATCTAGTTATGCTGAGGAATTGCTCAAAAATTAGTCAAGGTTTATAAAATCCAAGCATATTTTCCTATAAAATCCAAGCATTCTTTTTTCTTCCTTGTCATTATCTTATTCTTAGATAGTGTATGAGACTCAGAAGTTTCTCATTTCAAAAAGTTTATTTTTCCTTTTGCCTCAAAACTTGTGAGAAATATTTTTAATGATTGCCTAACATTGTGTGAAGGTGTTAGCAAATGCCAACAAAAATGACCAAGAGGTCTTTGGCCAACTGGAATCACACGTGATATTAATTCTGCTGCTAAAGTCAAATTTAAGTAGTAAAAATGCATTATAAAATAGGAGATTAAATGTGACACTATTCATTCTAAAAATATCGTCTAATAAAAGAGACATTAAATGTGACGTTGCAGAATGAAAGAAGAAAAACATGAAATACTTGGAGCAAGGAAAACTGGGTGGAGGGTAAGCTTTGTAAGCACCATTAGCCACTTGAGGTCCTGTTCAGTAATGTTGTAAAAAGTCAGATTTCAAAATCATCAAAGGTACATTGACAATTCCATATACAAATCCACAAAAAATGTCCACTGTAATTAGACTGATTTAAATAATCTAATTTTTCCATTTGACAGCTTGCTCTGTTCGGGATTGTTAATTCCTGTATAAATGTGTGTAACTTACCACATAATCAAACTTTATAAAATCAAGGTTTTAACCTTTTCGTCACTGTAAAAGTTGTCCTTCTCTACTACAGCTTTTTCTGGTGGATCTATACTATAGTGTTCGCCTAATAGTCTTTTCTGGGGGACTTTTTTTAGTTGTGTGCTTTTTGAATTCTTGCCTGTTTGTTTTCTAGTAAGCACTTAAATGGAACAGACACATACCAGCTTCTGTCAGATACCCTAGTGCGCCTTAATGTAGAAATTTGTTGAGACCTTATTGGTTGGACATGAAACTTCACTGCTATTTTTTTAAAGGAGAGAGGAGAGAAAGAAACTTTTCTTTTAATGACGCACATCATACTTACCTTTATCTCAATCCTTGTTAAGGCTTCTGACTGAATTTTACTGTAGAGTATAGCTAGAAATCAGTCTGTGTTTTTAGTATCAATAGTATTAAAATGACCAAAATATCAGAAGTAAATGTTCATATGAAAACAATAGTATGCTTAGTGTACCAGTTCTACATCAAAAGCCGAATGTCTTTATAATCATAGATAGGGACATAGATTTGTAATTGTAATTAGGTATGTAAACAGATACAACTTTTCTCCATGGTTGACATTTTTCTTCACAGTACTGTTTGTTCTGCATATTCCATTGTCATAAACAGGCAGAATGGAATATTGTGAAGTATGTTATATCATTGGCAAATATAATATTCAGATTATTAAGATATGTTATACATTTTTCTTTAATTGTTTCCTATTAGCCTAAAAAGAAACAAGTAGGTTTCAGATTTCCCTGCTCCTAGGGTCTGGTCTTTTTCTGTCTCTTTCTTTTTTGCCTGCATTGACACCTGTGTTAGGGTGTGGCATTGTTGTTTTGTTTTGTTTTATGGTGTAGTTAACTATCTGCAGAAAGGGAGTGTAGGAGGGAATGGGAGAGAAATGTTGAGATACAGTGCAGAAATGAAGCAAGACAAGCTGATAAATGATTTTCTACATATTCATGTCTTATAGCTGTAAATAGAAAAACAATGGAGATAGAACTTCGTGTTATTTTAAGCATACTTTCTTTGTCATATGCAGTATCTAACCAAAATGTCTGAGTTTTTTATATAACAAATTACAAGCAGAAGGGGAAAGTGATCGTGTATCTCATTGATGGCTAATTACATTCTAGAAATAGCGTCAGTGTCTGACAATTAGTAGTGATGCAGAGACATGAGATGTCTAGAACCCTCGCTTTAATTAAAAGTTTAAAGTAATGTTGGCACAGACTCTTCTGACATTGCCTTCTGCATCTACCACCTGCAATTTGCATTGTCAAATATTTTTCTGTAGTGCCTGATCTAGCTCTGAGTTCAGTAATTCTTCCATCTGTTGCAAAATGACCTTGAAATGATTTTTAGGCCCTGATTTTTTTTTTTTTTCCCCTCCCCAAAACTCAAGTGGTTTGTTGCAGCTCCAGCCAATTTCAGTTGGTGCTTACACTTGACACTGAATATAGTTCTAACAAATCTGAGAATAGCAATTGCCAGATTCAGGACTTGAGTTTTTGCTGCATTTTTGATTGTTTTGCTTTGTTTTCTTTGGGATTTGTTTGTTAGTTTAAATACTTATTCGGTGAATGCTACGTGTGGTCTTCCAAAATATCTAATGTGAGTTTCCCACTTCTAGCTGCAGGAACTGTTGTTCTTCAAGTACTTGTGTATTTGATTAAAGACACAAAACTACTCATAAGTGTTTAGTTCTATTTGAGAGAGAAATTCTTATTGACTTTTATAGTCTCTTGTTTCTGGAAATTAGCTGGGTGTTTACAGTGGAGAAGTATAAGAAATGCACATTTATATGACTGGAACGTGTGGGCGTATGTGTTCCTGGCATGTAGTAGCTCTCATTGCTTTACATTATTTGCAAGATAGCCCATGTGAATAGACTATGGTCTTGAGGGGACACCATGTATATTGGTGGAAAAGTGGCTGTAAAAATGTTTTATATGTGTATTAAAGTGGATATATGTTATGCCATAAATCTTGGTTTGTGTAGGATTTACTTTACCTTGGATTCTGAAACTTGCTCTAGTTTAAATGGACAAGCAGTATGTTATTTCCTCTTTAGTATTTTCAAAAAACCGTGTTACGTTTGACTTACAAACATTTCTAGCCTCCATCACGTGCTGTTACTCTTGAGAATTCAACTTGCAAATATTTCACTTTATTTCTAATGAATACTCTGTTGGGAGTACAAAGCGTATGAATGATTGTTAATTAAATCTTTGAAAATTAGCTTTGCCAAAAACTTTATTCACAACCAAGTCAGTTCACCCTGTCATAGATTTGAGGTTCTCCCTTCCCTATCTTCCACTCAGTACTCATTGTGAAGGCCTTGAGTGTTGTTATAGATGTGTCTTTATTGGTATTTTCATGCTTTCCTAACGTAGTGGAGTCTTTGTATGGCAGTTGAAGAAAATGAGGCAATTGGTGTAGGTAGCAAAAGGCTAATTCACTGAGATATCTAAAATCCTGAGTCACGTGAGTGAAGGCAGCAATTTAAACCATGCAATTCATACACAGTATATGAAAGGAAATGGGAGGACATGATAAACTTCTGAAACCCTCCTCACCAAGAAATAGAAATATATCAGAGTTGGATAGAAATTGTATCCTGAAGCATCTGGATAAACTTGAAGCCATGTTGAGTGGAATGATGGCTTTATATAGCTACATACCTGTTGTGAGTGGAATTATCTTTAAAATAGTTTACTATTGCATGGACCTAAATAATTTAAAGACCTAAAAAGTTCGTAAGTGGTTTAACCTAGAAAACGCAAGAAGAGCATGGTTACGTTTTTCAGTATTTAAGGCAGACGGAACTGAGTAGTGCGATAGAAGCATTCATGCTTTTGTGTCTGAGAATGTTAGATTTTTTTATATGCTTTTGCACATATGTTTTATAATACTGAATATTGTATTCAGTGGATTAAAATACTACAAAATAGTGGGTTAAAATACTACAAAAAATGGAGCTCTTGATTCAATTAGAGGCTTTGATTGAAAGAGATTCATTGCCACTAATTAAGGCATGTTTTTATCTGCTTTTAGTTATGAATTATATATCTGTGCATTTGAAAATGACTGGAATCAAATATACAGTAAGATCCTTCTTTTCAACTTATCCCATCAGTAATGAATTTCTGTAATTTTATTACTGAGTGGCATATCTTAAAAACTTGTAGTTTTAGCAGAGAACGGAACGCTGCATCCTGTGACATGCTATCAAATTAACTGAAACAAGGAATCAACAACTGGTAAGCCTGTATGTAGGAAATTACTAGTGAAGGAATAACCTAGAGGCAGATCAAGAGAGTATAAGTTCGTAATTTTTTCCAGACTTCATTTTTTCCCCTAAATTTACATCCCTTACTGTTCTTACCTTAGTCTTTGTATTATTTAAATGTATTTAAACTTTGGGAATTGTTTAAGGTTCAAGAACTTTTTTATTTAGTAATTTGTCAGAAAAGGGATCCCCCTTTGGTTAGTAACAAAAAATAGACTCACTTGATAATATACTTAATGTTCTTACCCTGCCATTCTTCATCACTGAGTACCTTTCAAAACACAGCTAATGTTTGTTACACAATTTTATCTTCTGCTTCTTGTCCTCAGTGGAGGGTCTCACAAGAGTTTTAAAATAACTTTTGCCTACTGTGTTAAAGAAAGCTAAAACTAGAGACAGATATCCACCTGTTGGAACCCAGTGCCCTCAAAAGCACTGTCAGGTCTCTTTTTTTTTTTTTTTTTTTTTTTTTTTTTAAGCTTGTAGTTGGATAAACAGTAGTGAAGCAGCATGTGCATTGTGTGCTTTTTTCCCCTGTCCTTAGATCAGCTCTTAAGAATGTCCGTCTTCATTACAAATGGGCAGTTGTTCTTCTAGGAATTTCAGAAAATCTGTGAAGGGCATTGTAAACTATCAAATGCTCTGAGGCATGAACTCATTAATTAGTAGATGTTAGTAAGCAGAAGCGAAGACAAAGTGTTTTCATGTTAACCTGTGTTATAGCCACATTCTCTACTAGATTTTATTTCCTTTAAGATTGTAATTGTATGTGTTGCACTGCAGTTGTATCAGTAGAAGGCATATTGTACTGGGATCCAATAACTAACTGCCTGGGAGTGATACAGTCATCTGACCAAATAGAGGAGTAAGAAAGAACACTGTTTTTCAAAATTCCTAGATGAGGCCTTGGTGGCAACAGGCATACAGAAATGCTTTTGAACTGAATGCTGGCCTTAGTGCTCAGTCCAGTGCATGCTATCTCACAGTCAATAGCGGTTGGGCTGTCCAACCTGACTCACAAAGAGAGAACAGTCTGCATAGGTACATTCTGAGTTGCATCTCCCTGAAAGTTCTTCATTAGTATGATTCTTTTAGTTCAACCTAAGCAAAGTGGGTATTTTTCCAGTAGTGCTTCATGACATTGGCATAGTTCTAGAGTCTTTCCCTTCTCAGCTTCAGAATGCATTGCAAGATGTGAAAGGACTAGTTCTTATTCTTCCTATTTTTTGTGACTTAGTGCTTCACTAGTCACAAATGTAATTTAAGAACGTTTAAAAGTTACTTTAAAAAGTTGTGTTTTGTTTTCTCTTCCACACCTGGGTGGAGCACTGCTGCTGCTAGGCTTCTGGAGTTCAATAACTCAGCAAGCGTGATGGTCCTCAAGTGGGGCAGAGGAATTTTATAGTGTAGTGCATGAGTAAGTAGGGTCTACGTCTAGGAGGAAATTAGAAAAAAAAAAAAGGAATTTTGATTTGTGGTATAAAAGTGGTAGTGAGAGAAGTGTTGAAGGAAAAACAAATAATACACTCTTGGCAAGTTTGCAGAGAAGGTCCTAGGGTTCCTGGTGAATAAGGTGAACTGGGCATCCTTATGGGAATGAATACCCAGCAGTACTATGAGCTGCATTATGGAGAGCACTGAGAGATTATCCTTGCCCTCTCCTCAGCCCTGGTGAGACCAGATCTGGAGGTTCTGGGTTGAGTGCTGTGCTCCTCAGTACAGAACAGACATGCATTTACTGAAGCAAGTCCAGGGATGAGCCACAGAGATAATTTAAGGGCCAGAACATCTCATACGAGGAGAGGCTGTGAGAACGGGGGATGTTCGGCCTGGAGAAGAAACAACTGTGGGGGATTTTAATCAATATGTATAAATATGTGATAGGACAATGTAAAGAAGACAGGATACTGGAGTGTAGAATCTCAGGAGCGCTGGGATTAGAGGTGTCGGATTAGAAGGAAGTGCAGGTGAGAAAGCAGAAGGCTAAGAAGTGTTGGGCCTTAAACAGGTAACCTTCCAGATTTCATTGAACTCTGGGAAACACAATCAATTTCTGGTCACATTTTCCCCTCCCATCTCTCCCTTCCAAGTGATCTTTATTCTGGCTGCTTAAAATAGCGGTGGTATTTTCAGATTTTTTGAAAAACAAATCCCATTGCTTACTACTTTTCCTTCAAAGTACATTGTTACAGTAGGGGAATGAATATTTAATTTACAACGGTAGGTATTCATTATTCATGTCCTTTTTGTGTTTGTTTCTTTCTTCTTACAGTTTTAAGTCTTAAAGGTGATTACACTGACTAATGATACCAACTGAAAAGAAGATAATGTCATATTTAACTCAACTAAGATTTATTTAAAAGACTGCCGAATCAGTAAGCGTTAAAACCCATTTCAATTTACCCAGCCAAGAAAAGAAATACCTGCAGACAAAACAAAAATAGTAGTTCTAATCAGTAAGAACATAATATTTTACATAAATTCTGAAATTACTATTAACCATAATCTAGTTAACTGTTATTATATCTTGTCTTTGATTTTTGTTATTATAATTGTAGTAGCTTCTTACATGCTATTTTGTAGAAAAAAATATTCTTATTTCCTTCTCTTATCAACTTCATCATATAAATCTAGAGCACTGAATTTCTCCATTCACAATTTTGAAATCTCATTTATCTAGACATTCTGAGTCAGTTGATTAAGTATTTCCTCCCCTGCGCAATTTGTAGCAGCTATTTATCACTGAAACTTTAGGGGAAATCATTGTATTCGATGCCTTTCAGAAAATATTGGGTATGCCTCAGTCTGGTTCAGTGAAGTTGTTCTTTTTCTAAAGCTCTTTGCTCTCTTGCATTATTCTCTTCTGCATACTATGAGGGCCTTTCACGCCATCAGACTATGGTTTGCTGATAAGGTAGTTGAAATTGCAGAATGTTAGACATTCTAAAGGTGTGGTGAATGGTCTAAAAGAGGATGTTGTCAAAATGAAGCCAATAATCTCCAATCTTGTGTTACCTTTTATAATTGTGTTTTTATTGACTTGTTCAGAAAACATGTTCTTACACTTGACAATTGATGGAATACCGTATTTCAAGGTAATTGGTAGGTAGTACCTACCAGTCTTGTTTACAGATTGTGACTTTTTTTGTTTTGCTCAGAATGAATATCATGTAAAATATTTTGTCATATGCTCTCTTGTGATATATGAGAAGTCTTTTGATTATGTTTCAACCTTTTTTCATGGCAATTATGTTAAAAGAGTAAAGAAAAATGCAATCACTTAGTGGCTATATTGAATCTATATTTGTATTTGAGAGTGAATATATTGCTCAGATGCTGCAACTTCATAAATGTCAGGAGTGGGAAGGATACTTTCCTGTGTCAGATTGCTGGTATTTACCTGTACGAAATGACATCGTGGACCTTGGGGCAACTTTAATTCACAGCAGAAGACTGTTAAAATGCCATTGTCAAAGTTTGTCGCTTATTCTAAGATCTATTGACCTAGATGCCCTTGAGACTTTTTTTAATTGAACATTGTAAATCATATGAGGCCCTCTAGTGGGCTTGAAAATGTATCACCATATGAGAAAGAGAGAAGAAAGACTACAATTAAGTTAATTAAGTTGTCTTTTAAGCTTGTAACTTTTAGAGGATCTTGTATAACTCAATTTCAGGGAACTAAGAGTCAGTAATCACACTTTAAATATGGTTAATGTCAACAACACATTGCACAAATTAGTTCACATTTCCTGTGTGTGTCATATGCTTTTACTTAGAAATTGTATCTGGTGAGGTTCATGTCTCTCTTCAGCTATTCCTGTTATCTTTTTACTAGGTGTACATTCCCAGCAGAGTGGCCATTGTGCTTCAGAATATGGATATCCTAAACTGAAGATAAGGATATTCTTCACTGAAGAAACAAGTCATAGAAGTGCTGTGCTAGTGCAAAATATAACAAAACTTTGGCTCTAAGTAAGCTTTCTGAAACTAAATATAGTATTATAGGTGTTTAAAATATAAGATTAATATTGACACATATTGTAGAGCTCTCGAGTTGCTAGAATCTGTTTTGAGGAAACTTTATGATTGAGGTAGAAGAAAAATGTCTTTGTAGATCTGAGATTGCAAAATTTACCCTTAAGACATTTCAGAGCAGCTGGCATTCTTAAATTGTTGTTTACAGAGCTTTACTGAGCATGGTCCTGCTTCCTAAAATTTATAATTTTGTGTAAGCCTCTATCACTTTGAATTTGAACGTTCATTATATAGCAGATACTTCTTATTAAAAGTAAGTGTCTCGACTAAGTGAAACAGAACTTCTTGGCTGAAAGGCAAACTTAAAGGTTTGTGGGACCTCATTTTGGGCTCCTCTTCTTCAGTGAAGTCCAACATGTAATTAAAGATGTTTATCCAAATGATGGATGAAAAAATCCTTTGAGAGTACTGTACTCTGCTATTTTTTTATTTAATTAGAAATTCACAAAAATGATAGACAGCCAAAGGGGCAGGTATAATGGCTTTGACCTGCTGATGTTGTTGTTTACTGCTTATCTGCTGCTGATCATATCACTTTGTGCACTTCACTTGTTACAGATGAAAAAATAAAGGCACTTGACTAGACCCCCTGAGATACTCAGTTAAGGGGAGCATTTTGCTGTTACTACAGCGATACCAGGCCAAGAGATGTTCTTAAATTTGTTTTTCCCTCTTTGCTTATTTCAGTAATGTCAATACCTTGTAATACTGATTTCATAATTTTCAGAAGCTGTCATTCAGTTTGAAATATGATGCTCTTGCACTTTTATAACTTTTGAAACACTGCTTTTCATAAAGAAGATTTTTGTTTTGTTTTGCTAAGTTTAAGATAGTTTAATTAATAGAGTGCTGCTAAGATTGTTCAAGTGAGTTCTTTAAAGCTAGCGCTTTTTTGTAAAGAGTAAGATTCTGTATATTTGAAAATGTATTACAAAATATTCTGTAGAGTTCATACCAAATTAAAATGCTTTATTTTACTCTACATATTTAAAGTATATTTAAATGGGTTCTAAAATGAATTTGTCTTGTTTCGTACAAGTCTGGGTTTTCTAACTTTAAAACAGCCAAAGAGGAAGATGTCCGTGACCATTTCCAAACCATACTTTTACCCATTTTCTTCTGTCAGCCATTGTGTTGATTACCGAATAATTGTGTCAATACTGAAAATCTTCTCACAGTTTGTGGGATGATTAGTTGTACTTTAATACAATTCACGGCAAAATAGAAAGTATGATGGGTGATGGGATAATAAATAAAGTATGATGGACAGCATTGAAAAACAATCTTCTGGGAGGCTTAATATTGAAAGGACTTTATGAATATGCCTAGTCTGATCTCTGTGTTGGAGGAGAGCACTAAAACACTGTTTAGTATCATGGTTCATTTTCTCCTGTATCAGTTTTATCGTTGTTTGGTAGTCGGCTAAGAAAAGCATTCCCATACACTGAAAGTTTAAAGGAAAACACATTCAGCTGTTCTAACAACTGGAACTGATTGTTATTTTTGTCAAATGATATTTTCTCCATACTGAAACTTTAAAAAATAATTATTATTTGCTATATTTACATTATATTGATCTACTAATGTTTTGTAGATTTTTTTTTAAACTAGTAGCAGTTCCAGGTTTCAAAATGTAATGCAAGGTAATTGCACTTGTCAGATTTCTTTTACAATGGAAGGAATAAATGTGTGATGTGAAGTAAAAACTATATAAAATTACATACCAATAAACTTGAGTAAAAAGCATAAATGCATATAGTTTTCATTGCTTGTACTGTAAAACTATTGCCCAGTCTTAATATGGGAATATTGGCACATCTCAAAATCAGGAATTGTTCTTGCGTCAGAAGCACTCTAGTGAGAATGGTGGATTACTTCCCTGGTATAGGTATTTCTCTGATGTAATGAATGGAGTAATAAAAGCATATTTCATGAAGATTGGTTTAAAAGGGAAAAATAAAATAGGAAACATAAGAATTAGGGTTTTCTCAGAGTCTATGTGTATGTTGTAGCAATGTATGTGTTTCTGCCTGCCATGTAAGCCTGCCAAATTCTCCCTTGCACTATCCATGGAAAGTCAGTTTCTCCCTCCTGCTCAGTGGTGACCTATAAAGAGGAATTCAGCTACTGCTGTTCCAGTCTTGTCAGGTTCACACTGCAAGGCTTAGTCTAAGACTCCCTCCTCCTTGCTGTTATGTCACCTATGTTCTGACTTCATCTGGTTGCTTGCTACTTGTTTAAGTCTCCTCCCTCGTAACTAGACTTTATTTAATTAATTAAATGTAATAGTAAAGGATACTTTAATTGAATTATCTCTGAAAATTGCCTTCTAATAATCACTTTCCCAAATACTAAGGATTAAAATTGGTCCCTAATCATGCCGTTTGACTGTCCCATGCCATTTGACTGTAAACAGAACTCCCTTTTTTTTTTTTTCTCCTAAATATTCTCCACCAATCATTGAAATGCATAGGAAAAAAAACTTAAAACCTCACATCAGGTTGTATTTGGACAGTACATTAAGGAAATAGGTATTTTGAGTTTTGTTTTGCTATTGTTTCCTTATTAATATTGGTGGTATTAGACTAAATACAAAGTATTCTTTCAAACTTTCTGTATTCTGTAACCTGTGTTAATGTAAGTCCTGTTAGGCAATCAGTCTTCAGTAATAAGTAGGGGGTCAGCTTTTGTTTGGGGTTTTCTAGGATAATGAAAAGAGAAGGGAATTTAAAGATGCATGTTGGGTGGCAGCGTTTAATGCCTCTTCAATTCATGCCTCTGTAGTTCTCCTAATCATTTTAAATCAAAGAATCATTTAGACCTCTAGAGATCATCTAGTCCAACCGTCCTGCTCCAGCAGGGACACCTAGAGCACATGGCATAGGGTGGCAGCCCAGCTGAGTTTGGAAGATCTCCAGAGAAGGAGACTCCACAGCCTCTCCTGGTAACCTGTTCCCGTGCTCTGTCACCCTCACTGTTAAGAAAGTTTTCCTTAAGTTCTTGTGGAACTTTTGGTGTTTCAGTTTCCGGCCGTTTCCTCTAGTTCTGTTGGTGGCCATCACTGAAAAGAGGCCAGCACCATTCTCTTCACTCCCTCCCTTGAGGTACTTATGGACACTGATCAGGTCCCCTCTCAGCCTTCTCTTCTCCAGGCTGAACAGGCCCAGTTTCCTCAGTCTGTCTTCATAGGGCAGATGTTCCAGGCCCCTGATCATCCTTGTAGCCCTGCG